GTAAAATAGCTAAATTATAAGAGGCAGCAAGTGGAGTAACCCCTGCTATTCAGGGCCTGAATATATGTTCAGGGGTAATTACCTCCAATATTCTAAGGGGGGGGGGTATTTACCCCAATTATTTTAGGGGGGGTATTTACCCCCAGGATTCTAGGGGGGGGGGGAAAAAAACCCAATAACCCCCCTTATATCCGCCACTGAACTGGCGTAAAACTTGTTTTTTTTACTTGTAATTTTTAAATGTGGATTGTCGAGCGTTTTATTAATTTAGCGAAGTGGATTGTTTATTTTATAAAGAATCAATCCTTTGTACTTTGATTTAGATCCAGATCAGTTTTGTTTTCAGACTGGATCCTGGTTTTAATGAATGAATAAATGAAATAGCTCCTATGTATGTACTGAAGTGGATCCTTGCTACGTGTAAATGTCGGGTCACGTTATTCTAATCCTTCTCCGTATATAAATATCACTGATCACTAATTACTGACTTAAATACCATGTCTCTTTCATCCTTAATTAACAATGAGCTTTTTTACTATTTCTTCTGAATTAACATTGTGCATTTTTACTCTTTCATCCTTAATTAACACTCTGCATTTTTACTCTTTCATTCTTAATTAACAATGTGCATTTTTACTCTTTCATCCCTAATTAACAATGTGCATTTTAACTCTTTCATTCTCAATTAACACTGTGCGTTTTTAATCTTTCATTCTTAAATAAATTAGTGAATGTGTACTAGGTTAATCCTTTAATAATTTACAGCGAGGATTTGTACTCCCGAAACCCCATTTTACAGCGAGAGTTTGTACTCATTAAACCACAATTAACATTCTTCCATTACCAATGTATTTGTTTGTCAACGGAAAATAATCCAGGAAAAGTATTTCAAAGAAAACTGTTAAATAATAAAAAATGAATATGGTCTTATCATTGTTTTTCTACTGTTTAAATACTCTCACCTGACCTTAACTGGTGTAGAATTAAATCAAGAAGTACAGTACAGTACAGTACAGTACAGTACAGTACAGTACAGTACAGTACAGTACAGTACAGTACAGTACAGTACAGTACAGTACAGTACAGTACCTAAATTATATAATCAAATGTATGGTTTGAGTAAAATATCTTAATTATATGATTGAATGTATGGTTTGAGTAGAAAATCTAAATTATACAGATTAAATGTAAGATTTGAGTAAAATATCTAAATTATACAGATGAAATGTATGGTTTAAGTAAAATATCTAAATTATATAATTGAATGTATGGTTTGAGTAGAAAATCTAAATTATACAGAGGAAATGTATGGTTTAAGTAAAATATCTAAATTATACAGATTAAATGTGGACTAATAGAAAGCCTGCACCCCAGGTGAAATCTTAAATCTGCAGGGTATAGGGTGTTCCAGTAAAATGTTTGATGAATTCAATTGTATTGTATTATCAGATTTCTGGAACACCCTGCCATATGTTGGAAAATATAATTTGGGACACACGGCGATTTTGGATTATTTATACTCAATATATAAATTTGGCGAAAATGACCGTAGAGTTCCGGCCGAAATTGAAAAATGTTCCCTTGTTTTACAGAAATGGAAATTCACCAGTCATCCAAACTTTTAGTTTTATACGAAGAAAAATGTCGGCTCTGAAAATAACTTTTTAAACTTAGTTTTGTTACAAGAAAAAAAATATTGTAGATAGGAGAGGGAGGAGGAGTTATCTTGATGAACTTCAACAAATTATAATGAAACCTATTATGTGAAATACATTGTTGTATGTATAATGCTATGACACATTGTCCGTGGGTCATGTTTCTGTAAGGTCAAAGAGGTTAAAAATGCTATGTTTCATATAAGGAGGCTCAAGGTAGGGGGGGGGGGGGTATTGTACGATTTGTTCAGTGTCATTGGTTCAAAGATCTAAAGTTTCAAACAAACATTGCATGCTCTGAAGAGGGGTATATATGTTGGGTATATTTAACTCGGGTATATCAATTTTTAAAGGTTTTTGGACTTTTTGTGTAAATAAAAGTAAATTTTTCTTTTGTATCCAATAAACGTCAAAATGGTTGAACCGATCCGGCCCGAATTTTTTTGTGGGACCTTACTTGACCCCAAGGACGATTTATTAATGATCAAAATTTAAAAAATTAGCCTCTAACCAAATTGGGTTTTCGATAAAATTTAGAATTCGACGAATTTTTTAGTTTTGTTTAAATGTAAAAATTAGAAAAGGTTCACAATTGAAAAAGAAGATGGGCGCGAAGCTCCCTAAAAGCCCATTATATAATAATAGTTTAATGATTGATAATCATACGAATATATAAATTAAGAAAAGTAATCGATATGAAATACATCTCACGGTAAACTAGAGGTCATCATTGAAAGTCTAGAACTCTAATTAACTCTTTAAATAAAGATTTTTCGTGTTTGCATTTTTATACTTATTTGTTTGGCTACGCAATGTGAATAATATTGTAATTTCTTTATTTATTGGAGAAGCTTAGTGATTAAAAGCTTGATAGAAAGGAAAAGTTGTTAATGTTTGATTGCATTAAAAAACAATCTGCTGAGTAAAAAGTCGTCTTCCACCTGCAATTGAGTAGAGCCAAATCAGGGTACCCCGTCCAACAAGTTCAAGAGCCAGGCCAGCTAGGGCGGCCCTGTAAAAATTGTTCAGAGGTGCTCTTTTTCTTTAGAATAGATATATATGAAACTAAGAAACATCCAAAAATTCGGATTTTTTTACCATTATTTATGTAGCCATTTTTTAATTTTTGAGTGTTAAAATGTTCGTTAAATCCTCAGTTTTTAATTTAGAATGATGTTTCATAATATTTTAGAAATCCCTAATACTGTTCTAAAGGACAAATTTAAAAAATTACATAGTTTGAAAATTCGTCAATTTATCAGCAAATTTAGTTGCAAAATCATCGATTTTTTTGCTACGCACTTACACCTTAAAACCACCACCTCGGCAATAAAAAGAAAAATATTTTTCAGTTTTCTGTATAATGTAATGTTTCTAAAATGTGTATTCATATATCTTCAGAACTGGCCGATCTATAAACATTGAGAAAAAACTGCTAGCTTGGCTCTTGCATAAAGGTCTACTCAATTGCCGGTAGAAGACTGATTTTTTTACTCAGCAGGTTTTTTTAATGCAATCAAACGCTAACAATTTTACCTTTCAAACAAGCCCTTACTCAGGGAAATTCTCCAATAAATAAATGAATTAAATATAATTCGCATTCTTGATCAAACACACCTCGGAAGTATTTAAAACCTCTTCCGTTATTTCTGGGTGATTTTGAATGAGATATCAAAATATTTTTATACAGACAGGATGCACTTTGTTGTAGTTAGTTTTACGTTTTTAAATATCCAGACCTTATCTCTTTAATACAGACAGGATGCACTTTGTTGTAGTTAGTTTTGAAACTTGAAAGCATTATTATTATTATTATTATTTGTTATTATTATTGATTACTATTATTGTTTATGTTATGTTATTATTGCCATTTTTATATTCATTATCATTGTTTTAAATTTCATAATGATCTATCTATTTGTTAGGGTGCTGCTAGCCCCCAGGAACTGGTGGCCAGGTTAGGGGGCTCCAGGGTCATCACTAAGATCCTGATCGCAAACAACGGGATCGGAGCTGTCAAGTGCATCAGAGACATCAAGAAGTGGAGTTATGAAAACTTCAGGAATGAACGTGTTATCAAGGTAGAACTTACTTATTACTTATTTCTTGTTGTTTTCATTTATTTTTATAGGTTTAAATAAACTAAGGCAAACTAATTTATAGATCATAAGTATGCAAATAAACGTATTAACAATTTTCCAATTAATCCAAAGGGATTGAGTTTAGTTTGTGATGATGGTTACCACTGAAGAATATGAAGGAGAATACAACTAAGGGATTATGTTTAGTTTGTGATGATGGTTACCCCTGAAGGATGTGAAGGAGAATAAAACTAAGGGATTATGTTTAGTTTTTGATGATGGTTACCCCTGAAGGATGTGAAGGAGAATACAATTAATGGATTATGTTTAGTTTGTGATGATGGTTACCCCTGAAGGATGTGAAGGAGAATAAAACTAATCGATTATGTTTAGTTTATGGTGATGGTTACCCCTGAAGATATGAAGGAGAATAAAACTAAGGGATTATGTTTAGTTTGTGGTGATGGTTACCCCTGAAGATATGAAGGCAAATGCTGAATACATCAAACTGGCGGACTACACGGTGTCCGTCCCCGGGGGATCCAACAACAATAACTTTGCTAACGTCGAGTGCATCATTGACATTGCTAAAAGGTAAAGTGTCCATTATGGTTTATGTAGCATACATTGAATTCAGATTGAGTTAATTCTAATAAAGATTATTCCTGGATAATTTGGGGACTAGATAAATACAGAGCAAGAAGTAGTTAAACTACGTAGACATTGTTGAACAACTTCTCTTGTGTGCCGGTCAAAGTTAATTATATTTGGTTTACCTTAGTATTTCTAGTTCAACCACTTCTCTCTATTCATTAAGATTGACCTCAGATAAACTAATCTTGATATTAAATAATGATATAAAAATGTTAAGGGACTATTAACGAAATTTCAAGTGATCCTTGCTGAAAAAAGTTAAATTACACGTATATTAAAGGTAGCAATCAAATTTGTATTCAAGAAACAATGATGGACTTTGTAAATGTCTTCTTTTCTTTCTAATTGGTAACTTGTTTTTTTAAAGCGGACTCGTTGATTTTAATCACAAAAGTTGCAAGAAAACGGCCGTATTACTCCTTAAGTTAAAACCCATACTGCAACCATTAATTCTCGATTTTTCTTTTATTTTCTCACTTTTTATCTTTAATTCTTAAAGGTTGTTAAATGTATAAATAGGATAATCATTAAACAAGCAAACGTAGACATATCCAGCAATGTATTTTATGTTGCTATCTTAATATATTTGTACTTAATTAGTACTTTAAATGCTATTTTTCTGTTCAAACGGTTTATAAAAATTAGAAGAATTAGTGAATATAGTGAATACAGTATTTTCAGCTGGGCATACAATCTTATATTTAGCTATAGCGGTGTCAGGTCTGGAAACTAGTTTAAAAGATTCTTTGTTTATTCGTCTTGAGATGGAGGGAAGGCGATCATAACCGATTCACCTCCAACCCACAAATGACGTCACAAAATGGTATTTGTGACATGCGCTTACCCGCACCCATGTTCCTTTCCGGCAAAAGTCTATACCTTTGTATGATGATTATAGACGAATGCAGTATTAATTATGATTTTTAAAGACGTCATGGCATCTAAAATAAAATAAACTTACTCATCATATTATTTTTTGGTGACAGTAGAATATATCTTTGCTTAAGTTAAAAGTGCGTTATTTATATTTTACTCTTTATCAAATATGTCAAATTTATCCTTGCTGCTGATAATCTTTCATAAAAAGTGTTGAAACCATTAGAAAAAAAAATAATTTTTCAAAGAAATGTCACAGTTAGGTGTCTAAATCAGTAAATGTATATGCAATACACCCGCACCCATTTTACCTTGATCTACAAATGACGTTATATGTTTATAACATAATCTTTAATTGAATTGCACGTCAAAAGGCGACATTTTATCTATAAAATCATTTTTTGTTAGTGTTTCAAAACTGATTTTAAGAAGATGCGGATTTATAAATTAACGCTGCATTAGTCTATAATTAGCTTATGAAAGTACAGTCTTTTTGCCGGATGGAAAAACGGGAGTGGGTCGGAGTCTAAGTGGGTAAGCGAATGCTGCAAATACCATTTTGTGACGTCATTTGTGTTTAAATCTAAAATGGTAAAAATATCTCTAAAGGTGTCCAGCTTCCATGCAATTTAAATTTTGATGGATTCTTAAAACTTTAATAGCATTACAATACATATATATATTATGCAGTGTTACCCACAAAGGATGAGACTTCAGAGACGATTGTACAGAATTCATACGGTCTGTACACTGTATCCTTACATTCACGATTCCCTGCAACTCTAAACTTGTTTCTTTTTTTCCCAAATCGCTATGTAAGTGATTAGATTACTAAATCTAAGGCCGAATACTTAATGAAACCTTGAGATCGCCACATTTTAAGAGTTTTCGGTCGTCTTTACAGTCTCATTCTTTGTGGATAACCCTGTATGTCCAGGATGTCCCATTAATTCTGACAATTTCTCCGTCATAGTTTTAGTCAGATTTACAATGTTGGTTATATTCATTTTATAAAATTCTTATTCTTTACGTATGCGTTTTTTGGTTTATAACTGGATTACTTCTTTTTCGGTTTTTAAGATAAACGCCTTCTTCTTGTATGCAATCGGGTTGACTTTGACGAGTAATAACTCTGTAACGAAAATAGGTATCGACGAATTTTTAAACCCTGATGTAGCTCTTGACCTTATAGGCTATGTTTATGGTAAATTAGTTTTACCTGACCTGCCTACCCAAACAATGGTGAAACTGTTCGTTAAACGTTTAATTTAAATACTGGTGAATAGGTAATCTGAATTTGAATTTTTGTCTACAATATATTTTATGAAGTTTTTGTTATATTGCAAAACTTTCATATTACAGCTGCTCAAATATGCAATATTTTGTACATATTTAGGTTGGTATACACTTTACTAGTGAGTCAGCTATGTTGTTACTAGGGGATAAGGTTGCTAGTAGTAAATATATATAAAATAAATATTTATTTAGGCTGGTATACAGTTTATGGGACCTAGTGAGTCAGCTATGTGGTTGTTAGGGGATATAAGGTTGCTAGTAGTAAATATATATATAATAAATATATATTTAGGCTGGTATACAGTTTATGGGACCTAGTGAGTCAGCTATGTGGTTGCTAGGGGATAAGGTTGCTAGTAGTATAGTAGCTCAGACTGCTAATGTTCCAACTTTGCCTTGGTCAGGGTCAAATCTAAAGGTAAATTTAAAAAATAATAATTCCGACATTTATGAACTTATGTTCGCTATTTAAATAATGTAAAAGATGACCAATTTTCTTACAGTTTAACCAAGTACTTCGGAGGTATCAAAAGAATTTATAAAATGTCGTCTTGGTAATTTTTCAATGGGTTTATACCATTATACCTAAATCTCCGTAATAGTAAAAATAAAGAATAAAAATGACATAAATGGCGGAAATAGTTCTAAAGACCTACATATAATTATTCGATCAAAAACCAAATATCTGCAGCTTTTCATTATCAGTTAGTTAAGAATACGATGTTTTATAAATGCCTCTTGCAGATCTTATTCTCGTATATTATTGTAAAAATTCTTTCGATGTCTCTGAAGTACTGGGTTAAACTATAGTTAAATGGACCTTTAAATGGAATAAATCTAAACATTATTTGTCCTTTAAACAAAATGTGTAAGCTAAATATTTTGATTTATAGACCGCTTTTTTATTAAGGGTGGGGCAGTTTGGCACTTTTTTCATAAAAATGTTCTGATCCTTTCAGCGCGTGTCTGTTTCTATAATAAAAAAGCAAAACAAAAATGTAAAAATGTTTGTTCTCACGTTTAAATTTATGCAGCGCATCACGTTTTTGTAAATAATAATTCACAAGTACAAGCAAAAAAAATTTTTTTTCCTAAAATATGTCGATATGGGTACATAAAAATCCATCTTGAAACATTGAATTCAAAAATGTTAAAATCAGAAAAATCGGTTAAAAATTTAATAAGTTCAAGGCCATTAAACAAAATTATAAGCGGAAATATCCCAAGGTCCTCTAGAAATTGTAAATTTTTGGCCCTAGATCAGCCAATTTTCGCAATTTCAAAAACCGACAACTGGGCAATATTCAGGTGGTTACAAGCGCAACTTCAGACACCCGTATTGAAAAAATTGAAAAATCGACCTCCCGTATTTATTGTTTATTTTAAAGAGTGCCTAATTAAGCGCTGACCAATTTTTTAAAAAATCAAAAAAATTGTTTTTTTGTAAGTTTAATTGAACAATTTTTGTTGTGTGTTGGTAATTCTTGAAAAAAATCATATGTCCCAGGGTTACTTTTTTATAATACTTATCCCAAGTGTACTTTAATATAACAGATTTGAAATTTATCTCTTTAAGGCTGAGACTACGAGTGAGGGTAAGATACGAGTGTCCAGTCTAAACTCCAGAGGAGAACTGTTCCGGAAGGGTTGTGTCAGGTTTGCTATAGACATTAGACACTCAGAGCTTTAAGGGATTGTGAAACCAAACATTAGAAACCGAAAAATGTTGAAAGTTTGCGCGCAATGGGAGAACTCGGAAAGCAGCAGGGATATCCAAAAGAGAGGATTAAGTAGAAAATCATAAGTGTTCTCAGTGTATACAGAGGTTTAGCAATCGGGATTAAGGGTACCCAATACTCATAGCTGAACACTTTAGAATAGTGGATATCGAGATTAATGCGTGATTCTCTCTTTTTCATAATATCGAGACTAATCTAATCTTGTACTTAAATCCTGAAAAATGTATCAAATTCAACCAATCAGAGTCGCGTATATGAAACTGATCATTTGAAATTTTGCTCGCCATTTAAGATTATATACAGAAATGGGAGGAACTCTCTAATTTAGAAAACCCGGTTTTTGATTTTTCTCTACTATATGCAAGAAAGAACAGTTTAAGAAGAAAATCAAAAGTGTGTTCAATGGATACTCAGATTAAGTAATCGGGATTAAGGATATCTCATTCTAAAGTTTTCAGCTCTGTATACTTTAATATTTTCTGAATTTACTAAAAGTGTATTTTTACTGAGAACCTGTCTTATTTTTGTATGACAAACCAAACCAGCAAATTTAAATTGTTTTTATGGATTTATTATTTAAGTTTAAATATAAAAATATTTAGGAATGTTGAAGAAGGAATAAAACAATCTGAAGAAATTGGATTCCCAGTCATGATTAAAGCCAGCGAAGGTAAAGTTTAAGATAATGGGACAGTGAAATTCTATGATACTGGAACCTAGGGACACAGTCATTAAAACATGAGTAGGAAGGGAGCTCCAGGATAATAGGACAGTGCAACACTATGATATACAAGTAATTGAATGGGAAATAATAAAAGGGATTGTCCACATTTACAAGTTATTTTATTTAAAAAACTAGCTTCAGTGCCTCGTTACCCCTGGAATAAAGAAAAAATCGAATTTTGAAAAAAAAATTAAATAGCCTATATCACCTAACGGATACCCATGGGTTTCCTTAAAAAATTTCAGCCCATTTGGAAGAGCCTTTTGGCCAGCTACAGCTGACCTACATATATATGCGTGAAGAGCTTTATTATATAGATTGCTTCTGAAAATGACAAAAAAGGGACTGTGTTCATCTTAAACTGAACTGAACTGATATTTATCTAGGAGGAGGAGGGAAGGGTATACGGAGAGCCATGACAGCAGAAGAGTTCCCAAACCAGTTCAGAAATGTGCAAATGGAGGTCAGAAGTAACTAATTAATGGAGGTCAATAATATTCTAGTTAATGTTAATTAGCGGAGGTTCTTATGTAACTCGTTATTCAAGGTCAGTAGTAAGAATAATTAACTAACTAGCAAAATATAAGTTAAAATAGATGGCGGGGATCCAACATTTTTTGGAAAAAAAGTTGTTTGACTGTTTATTATCGCTTACCAAAGATAACAAAGAACTTTTGCGATCTCTCAACGGTTCAATCCTATATACTCTACTGAAGAAAGTCTCAACTCTGTTTTGATCATAGATAATCATACTGAGCTGAAAACTTTTGAATGGGATATCCTTAATCCCGATCAGTTTATTAATCTGGAGACTAATAACAAGAGGAGAACAAGCATTATTTAATCTCGAGATAAAGAAAAAGAGTGGATCAAGCATTAATCCCGATATCCAGAAATCAAAAGTTCCCAGCTCTGGTTCTTTATGTTGTCACTTGATTTGATGATTTAAAATACCATGTGGTTCATGAATCCAGAAGTCTGGAACTTTCCTCATTGCAATCATTTAATCTAGGTTCCTGGTTCTCCTATTTTTATCATGAAGCTAGCCGCGAATGCTCGTCACCTTGAAGTCCAACTACTAGCGGACGAATATGGGACAGCAATCAGCCTTTTCAGCAGGTAGCGGAGGGTCAGCGGAATTAAACTATGGGTCATAAAGAATTGTTTAACAAAATTTAAAATTACATTGTATCTTATATTTCTAGGGACTGTTCAATTCAGCGGCGTCATCAGAAAATAATTGAAGAAGCTCCTGTAGTAGTTGCTGACAGCGCTGTAGTAGAAGAGATGGAGAAAGCAGCTGTCAGGTGGGAAAACAGCTGTTCTAACTGTTGTTAACAGCTCTATGTTAAAGGAAATGGTTAAAGCAACATTCAGGTAAAGAAAAAACTGTTTTAGTGGCCATGAACAGCTGAGAGGGAGAGAACAGCTCAGGCATGAAAAGAGCTGTTATACCTCCAATAAACACCTCTCTGTAGTAGAAGAGATGGAGAAAGCAGGAAGGAAAAGAGCTGTTTTAACTGTCGGATGAATAAAGTGGCTATCGGGTAGAAAAAGAGCTGTTCTAGTAGCCATTAGCAGCTGTGTAGGTGATTTGGAAAGAGTATATATCCGCTATAGTTACAAGTTAAGGAGTAGGATAAATAAGCTATAATTGAGCACTTTCTTCTGACTTATACAGAATAAGTGTTGATTGCTTCTCCGTTTTTTGTAGTACAGAAAATTGCAGTTTATTGTAATATATTTTAAGTTTTCTGAAGAATTCTTTTAGGTGGTCGGGAGCTGTTCGATCTATCATTAAAAGCGTATATGTAGCAATAACAAAGAATATTGATTATGCTGTGGTTTACAGTTTTTTTAGTGTGGTAGATTAGAGAGTAGAGAGGCGCTGGAAACTAATACTTTTTTACTTTTTTTAATGATATTTGTAGTCAAGTGCAGATATATATGTATTTTATTATGATAGTTGTAGTTCATCTGATGAGTAGTTGGAATTAATTAATTTTCAGAAGTAGTTGAACTAGATACCAATAGTTATACTACTCCTCAGTTCTCCACTGTCGGAGTATAAGGCCCAAAACTACTTATGTAATTTGGCCAAAAGTTCACTCTGTAGTTTAATTAACCATATCTGGTTGGACTACTTCTTTCTCTTCATTATTTCCGACCTCAGTTAAAGCAAACAACTGAATAGTCTCTTTATCAACCTAGACTTTAGCCAAGAGAAATCATGTTTTGATCAACTGAACTAATATTTAGACTGGCTGAACTGGTTGGGTACAGAAGTGCAGGAACTGTAGAGTATCTTTACGATAATGATAAAAACTTCTACTTTCTGGAGCTTAACCCTAGGTTGCAGGTAATTATTCATATTCAAACTATTTTATTAACACTGATTTCCTAGACATTTTTTCTATTCTTCCTTTTTGGAGAAGGGGCGGAATAAGAACCTGTATTTTCACAAAAAAAAGCCTGATTTCTATTAACAGTAAAAACACTGACTGAACCTCTGAAAGAAAAAAAATTAAGGAAAAATTCGTAGATTTGAGAAATATTGGAATCATTTAAAGTAATTGGGGTTTTCGTCACAAACTCTGATTTTCTAATCCCTATATCTTTGTAACCCATTGTCAAAGACCTTAGATATTTCTAACTATGAATTCTGTTACTTCAATTAATCCATTATTTATTATTTGAAATACTCCAAATTTGAAATATCAAAGTTTCAGGTTGCAAAGATATAGGGACTAAATAATATGAGTTAGTGACAAAAACTCTACATTACATATTATTATACATAAATTGTAAAGTGTGTTCCATTAAACATTATAATTGTTTTACATGTATAAATAATCATAAAGCACTCCTATTCCTGGAATTTCCATAATGTGGTCTGCCTCCAAAATAACCGGAGCTATGAAAAATTTCATATTTCAAATCAAAACAAAAATTCTTCAAACTTTAATACAACTAAAAAGGTTAAACAATTTTGGCAATTGTTTTAAGTGTAATTTAACATCTATAAAAAATAAGACGACATTTAAGTCTTCATACTATCATTCTATCATTGTGTAAAAAGTACTATCATTTGGTTTGTTCTAGGTTGAGCACCCCTGTACCGAGATGGTTGCCAATGTGAACCTTCCTGCTGCTCAGCTTATGATAGCTATGGGAATACCTTTGCACAGGTTAATTAGCTACAATAATGTTTTTTAAATATGAATTTGCTTTTTGTATAATATCTGTCAAAACAGTTGCATTACCACAATAAAAATATCTTATATGGTAATTTTCAATAGAAAAAAAAGAAACAAGTATTAACGCCGAAAAAGCATCAGATAAAATTCAGCGAAAGAAGAAAAAAATCAAGAGCCATCTTTAAACCATCTTATTACAGTGGAATTCATAAAACTGTGGAATAGGAAGACGACTGTTTGGCTCAAGTTATGATTTTAGATAATCCATCCAGTGAAAAATTTAACTTCAGCAATCGTGCACTGTGCAGTTTATAGATACCATATATTACTTAATAGGTTGGTTTTCAAGCTTCTGGAACAAACTTTTTGCCTATTAACAACATCAAGAACACAGGATTGCTTTAATGTTGTCTTCGTATTTCACAGTTTAATGGGACATGTATTAATCTGCTGTTTTGGACAGCTGGAAGAAAGAGAGATAAAATTAAACTAATTTTAATCAGGATTAAGTCGATCCGTTCCTTGTGGGGTCAAAATGAGAGTTCTGAGAGTCCAATGGATTTTAACATTATGACTAAACCCTCTCCTTCAGGTAATTTCATCATAAAGGATTCCTTTTTGAATAACCCATCTTTTTTTTAAATATGTTCACTTCTATAAATTTTTGTGTTTCTTCGGATTAAAGAGTCATATATGGTTCTCAGGTCATGTTATCAGTGCCCGTATAACCAGTGAGAACCCGGATGAAGGTTTTAAACCAACCTCAGGCACAGTCCAGGATCTAAACTTCAAGTCCAGTAAGAATGTGTGGGGATACTTCAGTGTATCTAGCAGTGGAGGACTTCATGAGTACGCAGACAGTCAGTTCGGACATCTGTTCAGTTGGGGGGAGAACAGAGAGAGAGCTAGAGAAAATCTGGTTGTAGCCTTGAAGGAGCTTTCTATCCGGGGAGACTTCAGGACCATTATAGAGCATCTGATCATGATCTTGGAGAAGCAGGAATTCCAGGTCAACAGCTTTAACACTGGTTGGCTTGATGAGCTGATCGCTGCGAAGGAACAAGCTGAGAAACCGGATCTAATGCTTAGCATTATCTGTGGTGCTCTTAGCATTGCTCATCAAACTATTCTCACCAACTTCCAATCCTTCAAAACCTCGCTGGAACGAGGGCAAACCCAGCCGGCCTCTCTTCTAGGTTCAACGGTTGATGTTGATTTAATCTACGAGGGATTCAAGTACCATGTTACTGTGACTAAGACTAGTCCGATTATGTACTGGGTCGAAATCAATGGGTCGCATAAGGAAGTTGAGGTTCACCACATGAGTGACGGTCTGCTTCATCTTTGTATTGAGGGACACAGCTACAACACGTACATGCACGAGGAGGCAGAGGGGTACAGGGTGGTGGTTGGAAACCAGACTGTGGTGTTCGAAAAGGAAAATGATCCAAGCATTCTAAGAGCAACAAGTCCTGGAAAGCTGATCAAGTATCTAGTGATGGATGGAGAACATGTGGACCGGGACCAGGAGTACTGTATCATTGAAGTCATGAAGATGTCAATGACTCTACGAGCGAGAGAGTCTGGGTTAATCCATTTCACAAAGCGAACCGGTGCAATTCTTGAGACTGCTAGTATAATTGCAACCATGACCTTGGATGATCCAAGTCAGTGTATGCGAGCAACTCTTAACACTGAGATGGTATTCCCAAGCAGTCAGGACTCCCCAGCCGGACCCTTCTCCCTACACGAAGAGTTTATGCATGTCAGATCACAGTTGGAGAACGCACTAGCTGGATACAGTTGTCCAGATCAGTATTTTGAATCAGTCATTCGGAAACTTGTCAAGGACTTCCTGCGACTTCTCCATGATCCCCGCCTGCCCTTAAACAATATGAATGATGTTATGTCAAGCATCGGTAGTCGATTGCCCAATGATCTCGGCCGATTAATCGCCAAGTCCCTGAAGAACTATGAGCAAAACATAACGAGCGTTATTGCTCAGTTTCCGTCTCAGAGAATAACGAACGAGATTGACAAGATAAATGCTCGGCTACCAGCTGGAGAACGAGATATATTTGAGATGACAATAGCGCCTGTTGTTGAGGTTTGCAAGAAGTTCCGTCATGGTGTGCGGGGAATGCTGAAGGCGCAGACCCATTATCTCATTTCCAAATATCTAGAGGTGGAAGCATACTTCCAGGTAATGACTTATTTGTTTTCTTTAAATGTTTTATTTTTGTTTTAAACTCACTACTTTGACTCTTCTTAACAATAATGTTTGCTTTGAAAATGTAAATCGAGAGTTCTCCTTAATTAGGATTGTTTCAAGAGAAAAGGGGTGCGGGAAGAAAATTTCAGAAACTACAATGAGAACCTGAAAATAAGTGTACAAAACGGTTATAAGTTGCATTTGCAACAATTACAAAATCCTTAGCGACATTTCTTTAGTGCAAAAGGAAAAAAGACGACGCCACGTGACCACAGTTTTATGATTCTCACTGTAATTGTCCAGTTTTAATTTTTTTTTAAACCGAGAAACTAAAATATTTTAGACTAGAAGAGTTCGTTAGATCTTGGAAATTACTACTATAAGACTGAAGTTATTTATAGAAGTTGACTAATTTGTGTGCTATTTATTTTAAAAAAGTTAATATTTCATTAATTTTGTTGATTCTCATATTTGATTTCCCAGGTTGGACAGTATGACAAGGTTGTGAGTCAGATGAGACAAAGTGCTGGACCTAGAGCAGATATGAGCAATATAGTCGATATCATATTCGCACACAAGCAGTACAGGTACTATCATCCAACAAATTTGCAAAATCATTTTCCAACAAAACATAAAAATTTGCAACGGTTTGAGTACTGCTCAATTCAGAATACATCATCTTTGCAGTTTTTTTCTGTAATTATTATTTTGCTGGGATGGTCTGGTACAAAATTAAAAACACATATTTTTCTGTTATTTCAGGAAGCGGAACTTTGTGATCACTTGTTTGTTGGAGGAACTGTTTAAACAGGAAGCTAGACTTATGTCAGAGTTAAAACCAGTTTTAACAGGAATATTCAATAATTAAAATGACATTATTTTCAGTTATTAGGGATGAAAAGAACATGATAAAAAGTTATTCTTTTTCAATTTTAGGTTTTCATGAAAAAAAATTGAATATTTTTAGAGTTGACCACCCTTGTCAAACAGGAGAACAGTACTGTCTGCCTTAAAGCCAGAACCATTCTTATTGCCTGCGAGAAACCAACCTATGATCTTAGGCAATTTAGATTTATGAATTTCACTTGAAGAGGATATAATAAAAAAATCATAATTTTTTGAGTATAAATCTACATTCGTAGTCAGCCTTAGAATTAAAATCCATCATCGGCTTGTAGACGGGTGAATACTGTACATATACATCCTAGCTCTATTTTGAATTAAGAAACTAGTAAGTTTAGGATCAAAAGACTCTGGCAGAGGCAATTTAGATTTATGAATTTCACTTGAAGAGGATATAATAAAAAAATCATAATTTTTTAAATATTCTTTTTATAATTAATCTAAATGTTAATTAGGTATAATCACATGGAGAAAATGTTCCTTGATGCAACAAATAAGACAGAGGATTCGGCCACAAATCTTCATAAGATGATAACAGATGAATCGGCCATATTTGACATTTTGGGAGATTTCTTCTACCATGTGGACGATGCGGTGTGCCAGGCCGCGTTAGAAGTTTATGTACGCCGCGCATTTATCTCTTATGATCTAACCTGTCTGCAACATCAACGGTTACCCCAGGGACAAACAGCTGTTCATTTTCAGTTCTTGCTCCCTCAATCTCATCCTAGCAGGTTTTATTTTAAACATTAAAATTTCTAAACTGTCATTTTAAGATGTAACTACGACCAGTTATCTTTAACATTACTAATTATATACTCTGTAATATAGATGTTATCACAACGTGAAATCTCTGGCACCATCGTTTGAATCTCCGATGTCATTGAGAGAGAATTTTGATGAATGCCAGCGCACAGGAGCCATCTGTGCTTTTGACAACTATCAGGAGTTTCTCAACGATCATGAGACCATTCTGGAAATGTATGATAACACACAGGAACGCATTTTTTCATTTCTAATTAAAGAGCAATGCTTAAAATTCAAAATGAGCCTTCCAAAATATAATTCAAATCATGTCATATTTGTTGTGTCTAACTTTTTGTCTAATCCTAATTTTTTAATTTGAAAAATATAAATTTGCTGAATCAGGACCAGGATTATGATTCAAGGTTTGGTTTCAATCCTGGAACTCCCAGATCTTTTGATGATCGAGGAGGATATCTAGGAGGTCAGAATGAAGAACGAGAACCAACCAATATACTGTATGTAGCGGTAAAGTTTCCAGCTGAAGAGTCTGATGAACAGATAGCCAGCAAACTTGATATATTCTGCCAGTCCAGGCATGGTTGGCTGTTCCAATCCCAGATCAGACGGATTACATTCATCATTCTTGGGACCAGATCATTCCCACGCTACTTTACATTCCGGTCGAGGAAGGAGTTCCAGGAGGATCGGATATATCGGCATCTTGAACCAGCGCTTGCCTTCCAGCTTGAGCTCAACAGACTTAAAAACTACGACCTGGTTTCAATTCCTACTGCAAGTCAAAAGATGCATCTTTATCTTGCGATGGCGAAGGTTGCACGTGGTCGACAGGTAAGCGACTATCGGTTCTTTATCCGGTCCATCATCCGGCATTCGGATCTTGTAACTGCAGCAGCATCGTTTGAATACATGAAGAATGAAGGAGAACGGCTTCTACTGGAGGCTTTAGATGAACTTGAAGTAGCGCACTCGCACGAGCAGGCCGGTCAAACTGATGGAAACCATATTTTCCTTAACTTTGTACCATGCGTTACTATGGATCCTACCATCATAGCTGAAGACATCCGTGATATTGTTTTGAAGTATGCTAGTCGACTTCTCAAACTCATGGTTAAATGCGCTGAAATCAGGTGTACAGTACGATCCCGTCCAACCTCCCCTCCTACCACGCACAGGATATGCATCAACAATGAGAACGGATATGTGCTAAACATCAACATGTATCAGGAGGTCACTGATCCAAACACAGGAGTCATCAAGTTCTCCTCAGTAGAGAAGATGGGGTCTGAGAAAGGTCCTTGGCATGGACTCCCCGTGTCTACTCCCTACATGACTAAGGACCACCTGGAGATGAAACGAAGTAAAGCCCAGGCAGCTAACACCACCTATGTCTACGATTTCCCTGAAATTTTCAAGATAAATGTTGCATCTGCTTGGAAGGATTTTGTCACTACAGCCCGGAGCCCTGTAAATCCTCCAAATCCGTCTGACATGGTCACTGTTGTTGAGTATCATCTGAACGATCAGGATCGTCTAGTTCCTGTCAAACGGTTTCCTGGAGAGAATCTGCTAGGGATGGTTGCCTGGAAAATGACGCTGAAAACGGTAGAGTTTCCAAATGGTAGAGATGTTATTGTAATTGCCAATGACATAACAATTGAAATTGGGTCGTTTGGTCCCAGGGAGGATTTGTTATTCAAGGAAGCAAGTGTTCTAGCGAGAAAACTCGGTATCCCCCGTATTTATCTGGCTGCAAACTCTGGAGCTAGAATTGGATTGGCCAATGAGGTTCGGGAAAAGTTTAACGTGGCCTGGGATGATCCCACGGACCCGGAGAAGGGTTTCTCTGGACTCTACTTGAGCCCCGAGGACTACCTGGAGCTGCAGAGTAAAGGAGATATAGTGAGAGCGGAGTTAACGACCGGGAACCAATACAGGAAAACGATTTCAAAGATAATCAAAGGAGTTGAGTCTATGCCACAAACTCAAATTTTCTAATTCCAATATCTCTGCAACTTGATGGTGTAAACTGTTGGTATTTCAAATTTAGATTATTTGATTTAACAATTGTCTTAGTTTAAAATATAAAAAGTCTACTGCATTAGGTTGGTAAGATAAAGGGATAACAGAATTTGTCGCAACAAATTATATACTTTCTTTATTACTTTTACTTTCGACTTTAGCATCTTAATTTTCTATACTTTAAAGCTTTTTTTAACCGCTGCCTCTTTAGTTATCGTTAAAGTCTCCTTCAGGATAACCGATATTCTGGGGAAAGCAAATGATATTGGAGTCGAGAACTTGGCAGCGGCGGGGATGATCGCTGGAGAAACTGCTCAGGAATAAATCATCAAAAAAAATACTTTATATTAATATTGCTTTTTTATAGTATTTGTTGTCTCAACTTTGTCAAAAATATTTTTTATGGAATACATAAATCAGACTTAGCTATTTAGAACTAAAACAAACAATTTATTACTTCAACATTTTGATGATTTCTTAATTTCAAGGCCTACAATGAAATAGTTACAATAAGTATGGTCTCTGCTAGAGCAATCGGTAAGTTCCAACTAATCTTTTTTTTAGATGTGGGGTAAGATTTTATGATTATTATGATTAAGAAAATAATTGTCAGTTATTAAGCAATCATATAACCATTTCGAGTCGGAAATTTATGATTGCGGTTTAATTTCAATAGGTGGTTAAAGCTTACATGCGCCGCAAAACACGTAGTTGATCCAACTTTACACAGTCCAACCACTTCTCGCTCATTCAAAAATATCTATCTCAGATTTTAGAATAAAACTATTTAAGGGATTGGAGCTTATTTGGTGAGGCTTGGTCAGCGAGTGGTTCAGATTGAAAACTCTAGTATTATACTCACAGGTTAATCAAATATTCATTAATTAAATCAATTAAAACTATATAGAATTATTCACACAGGTTAGTTAAAATGTTAATAATTTCATTAATTAGTATTGTTCTCCCTGGTTAATCTAATATTTGTTAATTAAATCAATTAAAACTAATTGATATTTTTTGCATAGATTAATAAGTATTCCTTAATCAAATCAATTAAAACTTATTAGTATTAAGGATTTTTTAATAATATTTTATTTTTTCAATAGAACACAAAAGGATGATAAGTTTTTAAAAATGTAAACAACAAATTTCTTAAGATTATAGTAAAACCTGAATAATTGTAATGATGATAACCCTAGGTGCTGCTGCTCTTAACAAACTATTGGGTCGCGAAGTGTACACCTGTAATACCCAGCTAGGTGGTGTACAGATAATGTACAACAATGGTGTATCCCATAAAACAGAGCGGAATGATTCTGAAGGGGTGGGACGGATGCTACACTGGCTCTCCTATATGCCGGCCTACAAAGGAGGTCCTCTACCTATCCTGGAGTATAAAGATACCTGGGATAGAGAGGTTCAGTTTACTCCACCACAATCCAGGTATAGAGGGTCAGTTTACTCCACCACCAACCAGGTATACAGAGGTTCAGTTTACTCCACCATTATTCAGGTATACAGAGGTTTAGTTTACTCTACCACCATGCCGGTATACAGAGTTCCGTTTACTCTACCACCGTCCAGGTATACAGAGTTCAGTTTACTCTACCACCATCCAGGTATGGAGAGGGTCAGTTTACTCCACCACCATCCAGGTATACAGAGGTTTAGTTTACTCTACCACCATCCAGGTATACAAAGTACAGTTCACTCTACCACTAGTCAGGTATACAGATGTTTAGTTTACTCCACTACCATCTAGGTATACAGAGGGGTTCAGTTTACTCCACCACCATCCAGGTATACAGAGTTCAGTTTACTCTACCACTAGTCAGGTATACAGAGGGGTTCAGTTTACTCCACCACCATCCAGGTATATAGATGTTTAGTTTACTCCACCACCATCCAGGTATACAGAGTTCAGTTTACTCTACCACTAGTCAGGTATACAGAGGGGTTCAGTTTACTCCACCACCATCCAGGTATATAGATGTTTAGTTTACTCCACTACCATCCAGGTATACAGAGTTCAGTTTACTCTACCACCATTCAGGTATACAGAGTTCAGTTTACTCTACCACTAGTCAGGTATACAGAGGGGTTCAGTTTACTCTACCACCACCCAGGTATACAGAGGGTTCAGTTTACTCTACCACTAGTCAGGTATACAGAGTTCAGTTTACTCTACCACCATCCAGGTATACAGAGGGTTCAGTTTACTCCACCACCATCCAGGTATACAGAGGTTCAGTTTACTCCACCACCATTCAAGTATAAAGAGGATGTCAGTTGTATCTGGAGATACCAGGGTTGGGGGATGCCAGTTTTAAAGAGAATGATGAGATTAAGAAAAATATGAATTATATTGTACGATTTTTTTTAACCCGATTTTTAAAATTATGATGAAGGATAATTTTAAAATTTTACGGTAAGTTTCTTTTTTAAGGGGAATGTAAGCGTAATTTCAAGTGATCCTCCATGCAAAGATGACAATGCTCGATTTACAATATTAATTAGATATAATTGCTTATAATTTTGAAAAATCTTAGGGGTTCCGTTGTGAATCTGGCATAGCAAAATATGCACGGAGGGTCAGTTAATATTACGCTTACAGTTTTTTTTGCTGGAATCAAATTTCTTGTTAAGGAACGGAAACCTTGATCCTCGGTTCCTTATTACTGGAACGGATGGAGAATTAGGACTATTTGACTCCGGGTCCTGGGATGAGATTCTCCAACCTTGGGCTCCAACTGTAGTTGTAGGACGAGCAAGGCTTGGAGGGATACCCCTGGGTGTTATTGCTGTAGGTAGGCTTCAAATATCTTGAGTGCATCGATGAAAATATTAAAAATTTAAAGTAATCTTGGCTTTTTGACAAACTTTTAATATCATTGATTTTTTTTCTGCCAACAGAACAAGTTGAACCAGTCGTACCTAGTTCAATCTCTGTTCTACAATTTAAAAATTTAAAACTCAAGTTTGTTCTTATTTGTTCAGATTTGGAAATGAAACTATAAACATTAGTAAAAAAATCAGATTTTTCCCCATTATTATTCTAATTTTATTATTAAGAGCAAAGAACAGTTGAAGTGACTCTTCCTGCTGACCCTGCTAACGCAGACAGCGAGGCTAAGACGGTCAGTCAGGCGGGTCAAGTCTGGTTTCCGGATTCTTCATTCAAAACTGCTCAGGTAGATTATTTTGTTTTATTATTTGACTTTGAAAAAAGTATTCATCTTCTTAACTTCAAACCCTTGAACACTCATGTATTTACCATGTATTTACCATGTATTTACCAAATATTTCCCATGTATTCACCATTTGTTTACCATGTATTTACCATGTGTTTACCATATATTTAACTCATATTTACCATTTGTTTACCATGTATTTACCATGTATTCACCATGTATTTACCATGTATTCACCATGTGTTTACCATATATTTACCTTATATTTACCATTTGTTTACCATGTATTTACCATGTGTTTACCATGTCTTTACCATATATTTACCGTATATTTACTATGTGTTTACCATGTATTTACCGTGTATTGACCATGTCTTTACCATGTCTTTACCATATATTTACCATATATTTACCTTACATTTACCATGTATTTACCATGTATTAGACAAAGTTGACAATCGATGATTTCGAAGATTTTTCGTTTTTCATTTGTGAATTTGAAAGGTTTAAAAATTTATTTTTTATTTTTTCTACCGTAAAATTAATCTTCACATGAGTTGCCACAAAAACATCTAGGCAATGAGGATTTCAAGACTAAATTATTGCTCTTATCTGTTTAGTCTGTGTATGATTTTAACCGTGAAGGATTACCCCTTGTAATCCTGGCAAACTGGAGAGGATTCTCAGGAGGGATGAAGGATATGTTTGATCAGGTAGTTAAAGGGTATGTGCCCGACTTCACAAGATGATAGTGTCTAATTTGGAAACTAAAACATGCATATCTAAAGTACAACTTGAAAACGGCCATTACCATCTTTACATGGAGGGTCGTTTGAAAAAATGCTTAAAGGCATCAAGTTGGTTTATAATTCGCCGAAATCAAAAGTTCAATAACTGTAACTAGCTTGGGTGACCACGGCTCAATTTGAACCGCATTCATAAATGTTCAATTCTGATTCATTTTAAAAATTTATGTTAGGCTCGTTAATATTTGCTATTTGGTTGCCTCATAATAATTAATGTTTAGATAGTAAAGTTTGGTGCCTGGATTGTTGATGCTCTGCACCACTATACTCAACCTATCCTAGTTTATCTTCCTCCTTGGTCAGAACTCAGGGGTGGTAGTTGGGTTGTTATAGGTATTCAAGATAATTTCATAATTTATGGAACATTTATTTCAAAGATTGTACATGGCGGAAAATGATATATATTCTGTGAGAATTTGAAGAGAGAAAAAATCTTGGTATAACAGATTGGATGATTTCTTTGACTATTGACATATTTGTCATACGACATCTTTAACTAGAGATATATGTAAGTTGTCTGGAACTTGACATGAACTGGAACTTGACAGGAACTGGTTCTTTACAAGAACTGGAACTTGACAGAAACTAAAGCTTGATAAGAACAGGATCTTGACAGGAACTGTAACTTGACAGGAACTGGAACTTGACAGGAACTGTAACTTGACAGGAACAGAAACTTGACAGGAACTGGAACTTGACAGGAACTGGAACTTGACATGAACTGGAACTTGACAGGAACTGGTACTTTACAAGAACTGGAACTTGACAGGAACTGGTACTTAACAAGAACTGGAACTTGACAGGAACTGGAACTTGACATGAACTGGAACTTGACAGGAACTGGTACTTTACAAGAACTGGAACTTGACAGGAACTGGTACTTAACAAGAAATGGAACTTGACAGGAACTAAAGCTTGATAAGAACAGGATCTTGACAGGAACTGTAACTTGACAGGAACTGGAACTTGACAGGAACAGAAACTTGACAGGAACTGGAACTTGCGAAGAACAGATACTAAATTAGAACAGTGCAGTGAAAGGGAGAATAAAAAACTGTATCCTGTAAGAATATAAATTGATAATTATATTTCTAGATCCAACTATAAACCCTGGTATGATGGAAATGTATGCCGACCCTACTGCTAGGGGTGGAGTACTAGAACCTGAAGCTACTGTGGAGATTAAATATCGAGCAAGGTTAACAACGTCTCAAAAATGTTCATTTCTTTTAATTTTTGTTGACTTTTAAAAATTTTTTTCTGATTTAGGTTTAAATATAAATCGGTAAAAGTATTTATTCCTTTTTTGAGAGCCTGGGTGCAATTTTATAATTGATATCCTAATCTATTGTATCTAGAGAGATCCGTCGGACCATGGAACGGTTGGATCCTGAGATGAAACTGCTAGCTGAGCAGCTCAACCAAGCAGTTTCAAACTCTGAGGAGAAGATGAACCTTGAGACAAGGTTCAAGAGGAGGGAGGAGATGTTGGCTGGAGTTTATCATCAGGTAGATTTTAAAAATGGAGAGAAAAAATTTAACATCAAAAGTTATTTCTCCCTTTAATAATAACAATAATCAATATTCGAGAAAAAATATATAAAATAATCATTGTTTAGATCGCTGTCCAGTTTGCTGAGCTTCATGATACCCCTGTGCGTATGAAGGAGAAGGGAGGAGTAAGGGAGATTATTCCCTGGAGAAATTCCCGTAGGTTTCTATACTGGAGAATGCTTCGAAAAATTAGAGAGACAAAACTGTCGGAACAGGTTTGCCTAAGCTTTTGCCTGGGGTTACAAACATTTCTGTACGTTTTTAGCTAAAATACGGGAAATTATGAGATGATAATTTAAAAAAAAACATTATTTTGAAACATCATCCATTCATAAACTTAGCTTTAAAATACTGGGTTTCATACAAATGCTCTTTCTTAAGTTTTAAACTTTGGGATTGTTTGCGCTTTTCTGAGCTGCTCCTTCCGTAATAAATCCAATAACAAAGTTTAAACTTGTAATTGTACAGTACAAACTTTCAGAATTTATGGGCTAGTCCAGAGCATTGAACCAAGAAACTAACTTTTTACCACAAATAAAAATTTTATAATTCCTATATTTTTGCGAATTGATGATGTAAACCTTTGATAATTCAAGCTTAGATTATGTAATCTAACAGAATTCATATTTTCAAATATCTAAGGTCTACGACATTTGGTTGTAAAGATAAAGGGATTATTGGTAGACGCTCAATAAAAGTGTTAGTGAGGTCTGCAGGCAGTAGCGTACACAGGGAGCTTATCCCCTTCCGCACTGGATAAGTAAAAACTATGTTTTCCCACTCTCTCATAAAAAGTTAAAACACCCACCTTGATATATTCCTGTATTCATGTACATTGTACAGCAGGTACATGTTGACCTAAAGCTAAATATTGTTTAGGTCCAGCAGGTTCAAGCTGACCTGGAGCAGAATCAGCTAGCAGCCATGCGTAAGCGTTGGTTTGTCGAGGACCATCCCGGTCAACCTCATTTATGGGAGGATGACCGCACTGTAGCGGAGTGGCTGCTCGGTCAGATCAATCCGAACTCGAAATCTGTGTCCCAGGTAAAATATTTAAAAAATGTTTTTTTAAGGAGCATCTGAAAATTTTACTGTTTTGTAAGTTATACTTTATTTATGAGTATACATTTCCCCCTTTGAAAATAGTAGTAGTCGTAGTAGTAAACCTATCGTGCAGATGAAATTTCAATATTGTTGGCTTTCTAGCCTTTAAGAATGCTTATTCTTACACTGTAGGTGTAGAATTTTCATTCTTTAACGCTCAGCCGGTGTAAGAATGGAAATTATTACACGGTCAGAGCGTGAAAGAATGTGTATTCTTAGTTGAAGAAATTAATTCTTACACGTCGCTACTTTATACTAACAATTTTTTAGTCTTTCTTCATTGCAAACCAAGTTTAGTAAGATTTGCAAATCTCTGCATTTTTCAATTAAGTTAACTGTTTTCTCGCTTATAAACTTAATACTGAACAACAAGAGCATTTCCAAAGTTTCAAATTTAGTTGTAATATTTGGACAAATTAGACCGAATTAATAGGTTAGCTTAAAAAACTAGTTATTACAATACCAGTGTCACAAACTTTTAGTGGGGTCTTAGCACTCAGTATCAATAAAAACAAACCAGTAAATCTTGTTTCATAAATACACATTTCACATCATTTCTTGAACTGGTTCATAGATAACCCGCTTTACTCTTCTTGGATGATTCAGGATCTAATATCTAGCAAACGATTTCTTCTGTAACTGATTTCACTGTTTTGATCAGTAGATTAAGAAACCCCACTACTACTATTCTCTACCTCCTCCACACCTAAAACTCAGGGCACATTCAACATGCTATTTTTAGATATAGCATCCACTTAAAAATAAGCAAATGCATTAAAAAATAGTAAACAAACTAAACTAAGGATACAATCACACCACATGAATTGAAGAATCAGTTTTTAACTTATAAAAGGGTTTTTAACATTAAGGCATTGTAACATTTGAAAATAAAAAACATTGATAGTCAGAACAAGAGCATCAAAGAAATATAAAAACTTATTTTCAACTCTTCATAATGTTAATTGTTCCAATTTGAATATTTCGTATTTCACCAGAAGTTTTTAAATCTAATTTCTTGGGTATGTACTCATGGAACCTCACAAATATGATATAATATTAATCTTATGAGGGTAAAAATGTAATAATGGAATACTTAAACTCGATGAAATAATCTTGATGCATTCTTTACCTCAGGCCCTCATAAGATTATCATAATATATCCGTTTAAAATCAAGAAGACTTACTTTAGCCTTCGAAATTAGATGTAATGTAACAAATATCCATAAAACTCTGATTTTAATTTATTTGTATAATTTCCAGGATAACATTAAGATTCTAAAAAGAGATACACTCATTGCAAGCTTGAAAAATCTTACACCAGACCTTGCTCAAGAACTAGGTAAAAATTCTGAGATGTTTTGTCAGATTTATTTTTGCTATTTATGAGAAAATAAAATAATTTTTTGTTTTCTGCCTTAGGAGTTCATCTTGTGCAACGCATGAGCCCTGAAAAGAGAGCTGAGTTTATCGAATCTATTTCCTCGATGAAGGAGGAAGAAGATGCAACCAGTGTCTCATCTACTGAAGGAGAAATTTAGAGAGAACTATCTAATACTCAGTCTATTTACACCTACAAGCCTACGACTAAAGCGAAGACCACAATACTCAACTATTCCACTTGTTTTCGCAATTTTACTATGCATACGCATTGCGCATGCGCTAATAAATCAATTTCCGTCACGTGCGCAATTAAATTAATTTCCGTCACGCTTATGCTTATACTTATGCTTACAAAAATGCTTTGAAAAAGTGTCATAATTTTTCTATTTTACTTGAATAAACAACGAGCTTAAATTGAACAAAAAGCGCAAAATATTTACAATTTAAAAGTAACATTTTATTGAACCTTAAATATTTTTCTTTTTTCATTCCTAGTCGTGAAATGTAAAGTTATATAGTCATTTGTTAGATTTAAAATTATATTGAGTCATTTATATTTTAGTTTTTGTTTTGTTTTTATCTGTAAAAGTATATATTATAATCATATTATAAACGGTCTATTATGGGAGCTTTGAAAAGTCAGTCCACAGTTGAACGTTGTTCATCTGAAAATTATTGTCAAAATTTTTAATCAGAAGTATTGTAAAATCTAACTAATCAACAAATTGTGATAAAATTGCCACTTCCACTTTTATTACAGAAAAAAATGAGAATTCGGGGTGTTTTCTTCCTCTACCTAGGTAATAATATAGTTTTCTACAGTGTTAACCAGATAACTCTGAAATGTGAAGACGACTTTTGAAATCAAGTTAAAACTATAAAAAGTCTAATGAGTGTTGTCGAAAACTTCTTTAGGATTCATTTGAGACATATTTCACTTTTTAAAGATCTGTAAATCCTGAGTTTGGGCGCAAATTCGACGTTCAAAACTCCTGATTTGGGGGTGGATACGCTTTAGAATTAGTTTTTTTTAAATTATTAAATAACGACAACGAAAAATAGAGTGAAAATTATACAGTAATCTAATTAGATGGCTAGGAACATATTTCACAAAAGAAATTTGTCAATAAATCCATGCTAAAATCGATTATTTTGTTTTCATTATTATATTGAATTTCTAATTTTCTTTGAATTTATTCGCAGATTTCTTCAAATTCTTTAATAAATGTCGTCTTTTCAATAATAATTATAAAAAATCTGCGAACATCTTTGTGAATAACGAGAAACTAGAATAATGAGATAATAGAAACTAATAATTGAACAAGATTACTTATTTTCGATGATAAGATTAATTTTTATTTTCTCAAAATGTTCCTAAACATGACGTCTGTAGTTTATTGTAGAATATTTTTACATTTTATGTCGTCGTTAATTAATAATTTAAAAAAACTAATTTTGAAAGCGTATCCACCCCCAAATCAGGAGTTTTGAACGTCGATTTTGTGCACAAACTCAGGATTTACAGACTTTTAAAAAGTGAAATATGTCTCAAATGAATCCTAAAGAAGTTTTCCACAACACTGCGTCCCCAGTTTAACTACCTTACATAGCCGGTCACTCCCTTTAACACCAAATTTTCGAATTGTTTTACGAAAACTGTCTTTAAAGGGATTGTACACGTGATTGTGAGTGATTCGCCATTAACATTAACTATGTCCAATTCTAAATAGCTTTATTTTATCATCTTTACTTTGACAGCTGATTATTTTCACTTTACTTTGACAGCAGATTATTTTCAATTTACTTTGACAGCTGATTATTTTCAATTTTGGTTTCTCTATTATCTATCTCTTCTTCAGAAACAATATGGAGAAAATGTTTAGTCCCTATTAAGGTGCAGACTGGCTAGACATGGTATTTGAACTGAAAGTGCAGTATTGGAGACATTTTCAGGATTCACTTGAAACCTGTTCATCTAGAGTGCTATTTTTTAGGTTTAACTTAAACTAATTTCATAACTCGTTCATTCTTTAGTTTTAGACATTGTAGAGTTTTTGTAACATTTTTTATCTTCGTTATGGAATAATTTTCTAAAAGCCGGTTCTCAAAATCATCCTTTCAGAATGTACAATCCAGGAGGATTTTAAAGATTGAATTTGCCCTCTTGCTGAACAATCTTTAAAATGTCTCATAGGTCTCAAATGAATCATGAAAAAATTCTCTACAACACTACATTCTCAGCTCAACTACCATGTCTGGCCACTCTAGCTAGTCCCTCCCTTAAAGCTATTAATAAACCGTAATTCACATAAGCTTGGTAAAATTGTCTTTAATTTTCGGAACAAGATTTCTTTCCTCCTTATACATTAGGTAAGTCCTTTTAAATGTGCTTGGCAGCTGGATCGCTTCACGTACGAGGGTGATAGAGCGTCGGGAAACCCGTCGGTCGCGGGGTGCATTTTTTTTTTATTTGATGATCAAGTTTTTCCATAAAAGACTCAAAATGAAAAGTTTTGACGTCAATTAATGGAAATTTGTCAAAAAAAAATACTTTATTTTCTAGGGCTCCTGACAATCAATGGTGAGCTTCTCATAAACATCAGTAAAGGAACTGAAAAGGTAAGGCTTGAGAAACGAAAGAGAATTTTAAGTTCATAGATGAAAAGGTTCACAAAAATATATTGGTTTAATAAATCTCTTCCTCACAGATATAAATTTCAATTTTTAGTTTAAAATCTAGACCTGTTCAGAAATATCTTGGCTCCTATAGTAAGCCAGTTCTTTGTTGACATTTTTCTCTTCGGTCGTTAAATTTCACAAGGTTTTACTGTTAATCCTATATTAAACATTCTTAGCTATGCTAAGGTCTATGTGAACTGTGCAGAGAAAAGTATTGAACTAATATATATATCTGTGAACAGTATATTAGAATATTATATATCTAGGCGTCTGTGTTCCATCAATATATATCTGTGAACAGTATATTAGAATATTGTATATCTAGGCGTCTGTGTTCCATCAATATATATCTGTGAACAGTATATTAGAATATTATATATCTAGGCGTCTGTGTTCCATCAATATATATCTGGGAACTGTATATTAGAATATTATATATCTAGTTGTCTGTGTCCATTAATATATATCTGGGAACTGTATATTAGAATATTATATATCTAGGCGTCTGTGTTCCATCAATATATATCTATGAACAGTATATTAGAATATTATATATCTAGTTGTCTGTGTTCCATTAATATATATCTGGGAACTGTATATTAGAATATTATATATCTAGGCGTCTGTGTTCCATCAATATATATCTATGAACAGTATATTAGAATATTATATATCTAGTTGTCTTGTGTTCCATCGATATATATCTGGGAACTGTATATTAGAATACTATATATCTAGTTGTCTTGTGTTCCATCGATATATATCTGGGAACTGTATATTCGAATATTATATATCTAGGCGTCTGTGTTCCATCAATATATATCTGGGAACTGTATATTAGAATATTATATATCTAGTTGTCTTGTGTTCCATCAATATATATCTGTGAACAGTATATTAGAATATTATATATCTAGGCGTCTGTGTTCCATCAATATATATCTGGGAACAGTTTAGAATAGTATATATCTAGGCGTCAGTGTTCCATCAATATATATCCGGGAACAGTACAGCTGACACTGTGACTATCAAGTTTCTAACACCAGATGGAGTTGGGGTCCAGCAGGTACAAAATTATTAAAAATCATTTTACTACTTATTTTTTTATTATCTTTTTATATCCATGTTTTTTTTCTTTTTCAGTAGTTATTTTTGGGTTTGCTTTCAGGTTGTGGATTTGAAGAATAAAGTTAGTATCAGTGTATATACAGTACCTGGAGAACAGGATCTAGGAGAGTATGGATACCAGGTATAGTATCAGTGTATATACAGTACCTGGAGAACAGGATCTAGGAGAGTATGGATACCAGGTATAGTATCAGTGTATATACAGTACCTGGAGAACAGGATCTAGGAGAGTATGGATACCAGGTATAGTATCAGTGTATATACAGTACCTGGAGAACAGGAACTAGGAGAGGATGGATACCAGGTATAGTGTCAGTATATATACACTACCTGGAGAACAGGATCTAGGAGAGGAGGGATACCAGGTATAGTATCAGTGTATATACACTACCTGGAAAACAGGATCTAGGAGAGGATGGATACCAGGTATAGTATCAGTGTATATACAGTACACTACCTGGAGAACAGGATCTAAGGAGAGGATGGATACCAGGTATAGTTAATATCCGTGTATATACATGGTACCTGGAGAACAGGATCTAAGGAGAGGATGGATACTAGGTATAGTTAATATCCGTGTATATACAGTACCTGGAGAACAAAATCTTGGAGATGATTTATACTAAAGCTGAAAACTTTAGAATGGTGGATATCGAGATCAATGCTTGATCTCCTCTTTTTCTTAATCTCCAGATTAAGTAATGCTAGTTAATCTCTTGTTATTAATTTCCAGATTAATTAACCAATCGGGATGAAGGATAACCATTTAATAATAATAATAATAATAATAATCGCTGTCAAACCTTCAATCTAGGTTGTAGGCTTGAGCTCCCTCCGTTTAAGTTCCCAGAACAGGTAAAGTTAGTATCAGTGTAAAAACAATATCTAGAGAACAGGATTTGGTATAGGTATTCTCGGTATTTACCGAACCTGGATTGTTTCAGTCTAAAGTTACATTCCTGTACTAAGAATTGTGTTATAGGTTTTCTGCTTTGTTTCCTTATTTACTGGTGATATGATCCCAGCTGAAGCTGTGAATAAACTACGACAGAAGAATTCAGGAACAGTTAGGGTTGCTGAGGAGCACAGGGGAACTACAGTTCAGGTTAGTGTCTAATTTATATCAGTTTAAACTTTATTTAAATCTTGCTTAAACTTATCCCTTTTTATTTGTTCAGGATAACCCAGTAAAATTGATAGTTCCTAGATCCAGTCATATTTCCGCACTTATACCTTCTCTATGCAGGAAACTTGAATTTACCATTTGTATTTTTATTTTCAGTGGAATTTAAACCATTCACTTCACTTGAAGTACTTTGCTTCATTTTTCAAACAAGTTTTTGATTCACAAAATTGTGGAAGTAGTGTGTCACCATTTTTGTTTTATTTTCAGTTAAATACACCAAATCTTTGGTTTTTGATTCACATCGATGCAAAACTATTTTTTCTTTGGTTGGCCTAAAATGCCACAATCATATCTTATAATTCCAGGATCAACGTTAAACAAACTACTGTAACGGGGTTAAACTATTTACATTCCAAAAATGGTAATGGCATCATGGTGCGTAGGGAAGCCAGAGATGCCACGTACAGTTCTGAACATGAAATTAAAAAAATACTGGGCAATGGAGCCCATGGCGGATCTCCATCTGAATTTATAAAGAAGAATCTGCACGCATACGAAACTGCTGACAGGTTACAACACTTTGATTTCTAAAAAGTATTTTATAACTTTTTCAATTTCTTATTTGGTATTCAGTAAGTTATGTTTATATTATGTAATATTTTAGATGTGACCGGGTTGATAGAAACGAAGAGAAACCTTGTATTTGTTCTATATCCTCGTGTGTTTGGTGGTTTCCTTGTTCTCTCAAATTTTGCAGGTTTTACAAATTTAATGATATAAACGTTAATTAGAAATCTTTTTGATGATTGTTGTCTTTTTTCATACTTTAACATAAAGAAATGTCGATTTAGTAATCACCAATTACACTGCTGAAAATGGACCATCAGGTTTCAAGTCAAAACACTTCAACTTTTTCTTCAGAATATGTTAATATGCAGTCTTCTGAGTTTTAATCTCAATTTTCAGAAAATTTCACCTAGGGAGTTTACCGCAAATCCATTTTTAAGATATCTCAGAAATCAAGTGCATTTACAGGTCTAAAATCAAACGTAAATTTCGTTTAAAGACTTTGATATGATTCTGCCGGTTTTTGTTGCGATATTTGTGACTGTTAATGTAACTTTTCATGAACAGTCATAAGACATATTGAAGTAAAAAATCAAAGCCCTAAGACAACTGCCTAACTGACTAGATACGTCCTGAAAAAGTCTTTTTGATGTGATTTTTAAGATTTTACTTCAAAAACCATTTTTTAGACAGTACTTAAACAGTCATACGTAGTTCACTCATGGCTTTGATTTGTTGCTAAAACATGTCGTAAGACTGTTAAGAAAAACTCACAAAATTTGGGGACTCCGTCTTAAAAAAAAAACAGAATCAGCTTAATCAAGTCTTGAAACTAAAAATACATTTGTTTTTAGACCTGAAAATGCACTTGAAAATGGATTTACTCAAAATTCCCTAGATAGCATTTCCTGAAAATTTAGATTATATCTCAGATGACTGCATAGTGCATATTAATATATTTCAAAGAAAAAGTTCAGGTGTTTTGACTTGAAACCCGATGGTCTATTTTCAACAGTGTGCATTGTTGTAATTAAAAAAGGTATAGGGCACTTTTTAGAATTTGCAATAACAAATTACAAATTCCTTTGCAATATTTTATAAGAAAAAAGAAGACCCAAAGAATATTTTATTATATTTATTCTATTTTCTGGGTTGGGTTGGGTTGGGTTGGGTTGGGTTGGGTTGGGTTGGGTTGGGTTGGAACTATCTACATTGTTTAGGAATATGGATGGAGAAGAGCATAGATGTGGTATCCGAACCTGTAGTAAATGCACCTCTAACAGGTATTTCATTTTTTTCTTTTTTCCGGGAGATTCATGCATCTAGACAATCAGACTTTGTGTCACTTTTAATTTTATATAATTTATGGTTTATATGCGAGACTTATCTATTTAAACATTATTTTGGTTTATTTTTGATGGAGGCACAGTAATTATTTTTACGGAATGAAGGTTGATCGTTATCATTATCATAATCAGTGTTATCATTGTTATTATTATTACTACTATAACTACTATTTATATCCATGAACATTGAAAAACTTTTTTGAATCCTGATCAACTATAATTCGTCTAATTGATCATGTGAGGGCCCACAGAGAAATTGAACATTATTATTATTATTATTATATCGTTTAAACGAAACTTTTTTTTTTATTTTGTACTTTCTCAAAATTATTATTTTGCTAGTTTTCTGTGGATTTCCATAAAAATGTTTATCGAAGTTTGTGAATTATCATTTTAAACATGATTTTAGCTCATAATCTGATATTTAAATATTAGCTTAAACTTTTAAACTTAATCTCTTAGCACGTCAAAAACTAAATTTTACAACTTTTCCATAATTTAATGCTTCAAAACTTTTGCTTAACTTTTAATTAATGAGTTTAAACTATCATCAACTCCCTAAATGTAAATGTGTATTTTTTAAGATTTAAAATTAACTACTTTACGTATTCTGGATCATCTTAGATTATGAAATTATTTTTTAGGTTCCTTGTCTCCAGCCCTCTTTTCTGTACTTGGGATAGATAGAAACTGACATTGAAATTTAAAGAAAATTCATCAAACCCGCCGGACTCTAGCCTATCTGTAAACCTAATCCGCTAGACTTTAGGCTCTCGAGGTTGGACATGTTTAGAAGAGTTCGAGAATTCCTGGAATTTCAGATTGGGAACTGGTCTCAATGAACCTTGTATCGGAGAATACACGGAACCTTGTTGTGAACTGATGAAGTTTAGAGAAATGTTTCAAGAAGAAAATACAGATTCAGTTTCTTTAGTTAGTTGATCAGATCAAGGTTTCAATGTTCACTTTGTGACTCGGACATTGCATGGAAGGTCATATGAAATTACGCTTACAGTCCCTTTAAGTGAGGTGGAAACTGAAATTATTATGTACGATGGATTTAGAAAAAAGATCCCCTAATCATTTCAGAATGTAAAAATAGAAATAAAATATATAGTTTTCATAAATATAAAATTATTTTATATTATTTAGAAATGTGTTATTTAGAATTTTTTAAAACTGCAATCTATATTCTTTTCCTCTCTGAAGATATTTAAATATAACGAAATTCAATTATAATTTAGATAAATCTTTATATTTTTCTTGTATAATTTTTTTATAATTTGTTTTTTTTATTACATCAAAACCCTTTCATTTAATTATTTTTTAAAAAAGTTATTGAATTTTAATCTAGGACGATAATTATTAAAAAATTGTCTATTCCTCTATGGGAAAGCTTAACAATCGTAGATCGAATTGCTTAAAAATAATGCTAAAAAGTGAGAAGTGGTGAACTTTCTCTTACAAACCAAATCAAAAAGTTTTTTAATTGCATGTTTTAATTTGTGTAGATGTTTTGTTTTATCATACTTTTCAATTCAACCAACATTTGCAAATCCAGAAGAGAAAAAAAAATAGCAAAACTTTACTGTAACATTAACACAGGCTTAGCGATATCCCTTTAATTTATGGTTTAATTACATTTGCAAGCTTAGGGTTGCATTGTGTCTTCTTGTGAAGAGATTTGATCTAATCGCATTGAATTTCATGTTTCTGTTTATAATTTAAAGGAATAAAAGTTTACTTGAAGTGTCTGGACAAGAAATTAATGGGCCTTTCATTTATAGATCAGCATGTCTGATTCACATCGGAACCCTTTTAATCTTCATTTGGTCAAGGATGAAAAAGGTATCCTCGTATATTTATACAAAATTGTAAAAAACCATTTTCACAAATTGCAGTTTTCCCTCTTAAATAGTTTACACGTTGTAAACGAATCACCTGCATTTAAGTTCTTTTTTAAAGGCTGGCATAACATTATGTTTGAAAATATGTGTGTTAGAGAGATGATAGATTATTAGAATTGGCAGTTCTGCCAATTATAGACGAACGGATTTAAATTTATCGATATTACCTGGTCTGAAATATGTATACCCAAATATCTATATACCTACTAATATTGAATTGTAAAAACTTTTCCAAAAAGGTAAACCGCATATTTTGCAATCTTAATATATCTCAATTTAGGAAGTATTTTTTTTACGGGGAATGAATTACAAGTATGCGACCTTGCAACTACATTTCTGCAGCATTTTACATTCATTTGTGAGAAAAGCTAATTTATTAGAATTCAAAACGTTTTTCTTTCATAAAAATGCTAGCCTAAGTTTGTTCTAAAGAGTGTACCAAAAAAACATGGGAAATTGTTTTTGATTTAAGATAATTTATACATGAGGCGTAGTTTATACAATTTTTGAGCTTCACATAATTGGTCTTTTTTATTTTAATTTAACCAAGATACTTAATACTTGAACGTTTGAATCTAAAATATTGGAATCTGAGCCCAAACTAAAGAAATTGCGAGTTTTAAATTATAGCTTTAAAGTTCGGTAAAATACTGAATTCAAAATTTAAAATTAATCGCAGACTATACATGGGTTATTTGTTAAAAAACTATGCCAATATGCCAAATTTAAAAGAAAGTCAATGTTGATTAATAGAATATTGTAGGCCACATTTCGTATTTCCGAGGCTTAGATAAGATAAGATAAAGTTTATTGCTAAAATACATGTATCTGTGTACAGAACGAGTTTACAATTACAAATTGATGCCTATGTTAACAGTACATGTATATAGCAATTAGATGGAAAATAGCTCTTGGCTGTTTTGATTATTTTTTCCACCTACTTTCAATAATGATAACAACACATTTTAATTAAATAGATTTAAAGAGAAATATTAGAGATCAGGGTGCGATTTTATCTAATGCAAAATCGTTTATACATTAATTTGAATAACTAGAGTTTAAAGTAATTTTCTGACATGTACACAACAAATATCAAAGCATATTAAAACATATCTAATTAGTTTTACATGAATAGCAATTCGGTTAATAACACATTGTAATGTAATTTTCAAAAAAAGAGAATTTAGTAGTCTATTTTTAGATATACTTAGAGAGTTGCTTCTTTTTAAGTCAAGAGGCAGGTTATTCCACATCTTAAGAAGAGAGCTTGATGGTAAATACTGTAATGAGCACATTTTTTTTCATACTTTCATACTTTCATACTTTCATACTTTCATACTTTCATACTTTCATACTGACATGCATATATCAAGTATTCCGTCTGAACTCCTTTCTTTCACACTAACATGCATATATCCAGCATTCCGTCTGAACTCCATTCTTTCACACTGACATTCATTTATCCAGTATCCGTCTGAACTCCTTTCTTTCACACTGACATGCATATATCCAGCATTCCGTCTGAATTCCTCTCTTTCACACTGACATGCATATATCCAGCATTCCGTCTGAACTCCATTCTTTCACACTGACATGCATATATCCAGCATTCCGTCTGAACTCCTTTCTTTCACACTGACATTCATATATCCAGCATTCCGTCTGAACTTCTTTCTTTCACACTGACATGCATATATCCAGCATTCCGTCTGAACTCCTTTCTTTCATACTGACATTCATATATCCAGCATTCTGTCTGAACTCCTTTCTTTCACACTGACATGCAAATATCCAGCATTCCGTCTGAACTTCTTTCTTTCACACTGACATGCATATATCCAGCATTCCGTCTAAATTCCTTTCTTTCACACTGACATTCATATATCCAGCATTCCGTCTGAACTCCATTCTTTCACACTGACATTCATATATCCAGTATCCGTCTGAACTCCTTTCTTTCACACTGACATGCATATATCCAGCATTCCGTCTGAACTTCTTTCTTTCACACTGACATGCAAATATCCAGCATTCCGTCTGAATTCCTTTCTTTCACACTGAATGAATTTCCTGATACAAACTGTATTGATCATGGTACAACAGTTGAATCGCGTATACTTATTTTAACCGCTTCTCTTCAGAGCCCAAAATTTAAGACAGGGTATCGTTATGGAACCGGGTTTCATGAACGGGGTCGGGTAATTTTGTAGATATCGCTATATTTTTAAGAATTATTATTTAGGGTTATCTTTATATTCTCTCTTTATTTTCTATTTCTGGATGTAAATCTGCACAAATGAATTTTCTCCAAAAAGGAAACTCAAGAGTTTCGTTCAATTATACTCTTTTAAATTGCCGTCTCAGCTTAACCCAGGGCACAAGCGAACTTGTCGAACCTGTAGTACGCGCGTTTCAATTAATCTGGTAATAAACGAGACAAGAAGAGTGTACCAATAACACGAATAGTGTTGAACCCTCTCACTGACAGTTCTTAAAGTTTATACGTAGTCTTTATTTATATTTTCAAACGGGTTCATGATAAAAACAAATCACTACGCGGTTCTATTTTTCATTAATACTTTAAAAACCGAATACAGGTCATAATTCAGTTAAACCCAGTCTTATACTACCCCCTCCTTCTTCCATCTCCACTCCTTCCCCCGCCCTATACTCCTACCCCCTACCTATCCTCCTCCTACCTCTTCCTTTCCCCGTCACTCTAATTTTCCAATTTCCTTTCCCCTTCTATCTATAAAACAAGCCCGGTAGAAAATTGATGAAAGAAAGATAGAAATAAAAAAAAGTAAACGAAAAAACAGACCCGGCTCCCAGCCCCCCCTCCCCCCGGTAGAAAAAAATAAATAAATAAAAGATAGTAAAAGAATAAAAAATACAAAGTTGAGGTAGAGAAAGTATTAAGATAAAAGTTGAGAAGCATTGTACGAAAATGAGGAAACCAAATAATATAAATACTAAATGCATTTAACACCCCTGCACTTTTATTTATTTAAATTTAACTTGTTGCCCCTTTACCAGTGACATTATTTTTTCTAATCATTAATGATGACTCGTTAATTTTGATTTCCAGACTTCAATCATTGGTACACTCTTCTTGCCTCGATAATACCCGATACACTTAAGTATTCATTGGCAACCCCGTACTAATGAACATTTTTCAATGAAATTGTGCAGATCCTATGCTTGGTAAAATAGTGTACAAATTACTTAAAGTCTTTCTGTTTTTCATTTCACATTAAACTTTATTTAGCATTTTATTTCATGTTTAAGGATAATATTTGGTTGTACACAATGCATGTGTACACTGTACAATGTAATTGTACACTTGATGTAACTTTATATAACATAATATACTGGGTGTCTTTGAAAAAAATAGTTTAAACTTTTTCAAATACTAGAGATTGTTTTCGTGTACTAAAATGTGTTTCTAGTAGTAGTAGTTACTATGTCTACAATGGAACGACTTTTAGTAGACGAAAAAACTTAAATTCACTGTTTTGAACAATTTATAAAATATATACATTGACATAGTGAAATAATAAAACATACAAAAGTACAATATTTACAATCTAAATATGTACATAAAGTGTAATAGAATTTATACAATATAAATATGTACACTATGTACTACAATGTACAATGTACACTGTTGTTTCTATCTAAAGTTTTCTCCATAATAGACATAAAATTCTGTTTCCGTGGTGATAGATAATCTTTTAGTAGTCTCAAGAGAGATTTTAGTACAAACCATCTTTATTTTTCAGATCAAACTTTTCTCTATATTACTCTAAACCTTTCTCTATTTGTTTAAAACCTTTCCTTATTCTTTACTCTAAACTTCACATTATTCTTTACTTTAATCCTTTCCTTATCCTTTACTCTAACCCGTCTGCAAAGCAGTGCGACTGCTTTCTCATGTCAGACCAGCGCCATTTCTTTTCCCTTTATTCTTGTTCCCTGGCTCCGATCCAACCAAGCAGATTTAGACTTAGATTGTCCATCCTACCATTGTTGGGAGTTGGCAAATTTCATCATCCTCTCCTTGCTAGAGCTGGTGTGCAACTGATTGTCCTTAAAAAGAACTAATTTATTTTTGTTACATATTAGAAATTTTAAATATTTTAACTCTTCTCTAGCTCTTCAATGAGTTATAACTCATATATGATTAAACACAGATAAGATTTCAAACTTTCGTACAATTCACTTTAGTTTAACGTGCTACTCTA